GCAAAGGCCAGGCAAGTGTTTGTAGACTTCTGAGCAGTTGCTGCTTTTATACTGCAGCATGCAGCTGATGATGTGAAAGGCAATTCCAGATGACACCACTCCCTTTTCCTTCCAACAGAGAGATCTTGGTGGAAGAAAGTAATGTCCAGAGAGTAGATTCCCCAGTAACAGTGAGTAAGGGTTTGGGGGGAAAGTTTCATAATACCTTAGACTGGTGTGGTGACAGCAGCAGTCAGGCAAACTTTTATTTTTTTTTTATCCTTGATGCTTTTTTCCAGGTTTGTGGGGATATTCATGGCCAGTTCTATGACCTTAAAGAGCTATTCAGGGTGAGTACTGAAACCCACTAGTTCCGTGCTGCCTTCTGCTGCTTTTTGCTTTCTTTCTGTAGATTTCCTAATTTTATGAGTAACCATTTTGTGTGTTCCGTGTCTTCATGCGTTAGGTAGGTGGCGATGTACCTGAGACCAACTATCTTTTCATGGGAGACTTTGTTGACCGAGGCTTCTACAGTGTTGAAACATTCTTGCTGCTGCTGGCACTCAAAGTAAGGAAAGCCCTGATAAGTTAACATTAATTTTTTCTTTTTTTATTTAAAAGTCAGTATGTGTTGGCAATGATGCAAGTTTGGCTAATAGCTTTTTAAATCTGTAGGCTAAGCTGAATGGGTCCACTTCTTTTTACAGGTCCGTTACCCGGACAGAATCACCCTTATCCGTGGCAATCACGAAAGCAGGCAGATCACCCAGGTATATGGGTTTTATGACGAGTGCTTGAGAAAATATGGCTCTGTCACTGTGTGGCGCTATTGCACTGAGATTTTTGACTACCTCAGCCTCTCTGCCATTATCGATGGCAAGGTGAGTATGCAAGTATAATTCTTGAATCATGATGAATTGTGGATCTGAAGGAGATCAGATTCTGATTTGAAAGACTTACTGTCTGAAAAATAGGGGGGGGGGGGGAAACAACATTTTACTTGCCAAGAGATGTAATTATGGGCTAATCACTGGTGGCATAGGGCTGATTCATAATGAATGTTTTCTCTTAATTCAAATCCAGCACTCAATTGTTTTTAATCAATTGCATAACTGAATATCAGAGACTGTAAAGGGGTAGTGGGGCACATAGATATTATGTCTCTGGGGTAAGGTGATCAGAGAAAAAAAGTGGAGGGCGGTCCATGATGTATATTGTATAAGTGTGTCTTTTCTGTTCAGATTTTCTGTGTCCATGGTGGCTTATCCCCATCCATCCAGACGCTGGACCAGATCCGAACGATAGATCGCAAACAAGAGGTCCCTCATGATGGCCCCATGTGTGATCTTCTATGGTCTGACCCTGAAGGTACAGCTATGAGTCTTTCTTTTTCTGTTTGTGTGAATATTAGCTCGATAGTAGACACCGTAATGGCTAAAATTGTGTACAGGTTTGGTGGAATCTGATAGGAATTGCACATGCCAAAAGCAGTGTTGAAGAGTATTGTGTTTGTAATTCTGATTCAAAATTATACTAGAACGAAAAGAGTTAATTGGTGTTACTACATACCCTGATGAGATTGAAGTAGTTGAAGAGAGACCGAAGCAGATTATATCCCAAGCACATTGTGGTAAATTTAAAGGTTTCCCCTGCCTAGCCATGTCCAACTCTAGGGCACGTTGCTCATCTCCGTTTCTTGACCAAGGGAGCCAGTGTTGCTGAAGAGAGTTTCCATGGCCATGTGGCCAGCATGACTGGATGCCTAGGTGTACAGAACACTGTTACCTTCCCACCAAAGTAATACCTATTTACTCATATTTGCATGCTTTCAAACTGCTAGGTTGGCAGTAACTAGGGCAGGAATGGGAGCTCACCTCATCACGGGGCGGTCAGGTCTCAAACCCGGGCTGTCAGCTTTTCAGCTGACAATCTCAGCATCTATAACTGCTGAGCTATCGTGCCCCTATATTGCGGAAGACATATATAATAAATCTTGCGTGGATTTGCAATCATCAGCAAATCAAATAAATGGTAAAACTCTTTTAAGTCTTCCACTAAAGATAGTCAGATATTTTGTATTTCCATCTCCATTTCCTTCCCACTCCCAGAATTATTGTTTTAGAAGATTTTTTAAAAGGGAAAAAGAACAGCCTTGTATGGTGGAATACGGGTGGTGGTATGAGATGTTCTACAGCAGGGGTCTTCAAACTTGGTCCTTTTATGACTTGTGGACTTCAACTCCCAGAATTCTCAGCCAGGCATGCTGGCTGAGGAATTCTGGGAGTTGAAGTCCACAAATCATAAAAGGGCCAAGTTTGAAGACCCCTGTTCTACAGTGTCTCCTTGTCAACTGATTGGCTTTCTTCTATTAGCTTGCAAGACCAGATGTTTCCTTTTCCTAGCATTTGCCTGCCATTTGGGTTCCCGTGTGTCGATATTCTCTTCGTTTGCTCTTCTAGATACTACAGGCTGGGGGGTCAGTCCTCGAGGTGCTGGCTATTTATTTGGCAGCGATGTGGTAGCGCAGTTCAACGCAGCAAATGACATCGACATGATTTGCCGGGCACATCAGCTGGTCATGGAGGGATACAAATGGCATTTCAACGAGACCGTTCTTACCGTGTGGTCAGCCCCCAACTATTGCTACCGGTGAGAAACTGCCACAGGGTATGCCTGTGAAGAGGAAGAACTGTGGGATGGGGAGAGGGAGATTGAAATTAGCTGAATGTGTTTTCCAGGGATGTGCAGCGTTGATAAAAGCTAAAGCACACAAATTTGACCTCTCTTCTCTCTTCCAACCACAGCTGTGGGAATGTTGCAGCCATCTTGGAACTGGATGAACACCTTCAAAAGGAATTTATCATCTTTGAAGCAGCCCCTCAAGAAACCCGAGGCATCCCATCTAAGAAGCCTGTTGCGGACTACTTCCTGTGAATGCTGCTCCTCCCTCGTCCCCTTTGTGCGGCTTCTGTTTCCTATTCTGGATGGAGTGGTCAGCTTCTCTTTCAGCCTTTGGCAGGGGTTCAGCTCTCTTCTTTCCTTCTCTCCCTTACCTTGGCCCTCGCCCAATAAATTCTCAGTTCTGGACCCCTTAGACTGAATTAGCCATCTTTTCCCAACATTGCTGATTCCTGAGCAATCCCTAGGATTGCCATAATTGGTATATCCCCCCACCCCACCCCTAAAAAAACACACTTTTTTAAAGGATTTCTACCTGTGGAAAAACCTGGAACTTTGTCAGCTCTTTCCATGAAAAGAAGTATCAGCCCAGGAATGAAGAAAAGTTGTAGTTCTTTTAAAGTTCTCTAGTTTTGTAGAGAAGTCACTGACCAATTTCTTGAGCAACTGTTGATGGGGCTTTTCTAATGAAGCATTGTCCAAGCTGGTGGCCCTCCAAATGTATTGGCCCTAAAACTCCTATCATCCTAGCCAACATGGCCATTTTGAATTAGGTGGTGGGAATTGTAGCATAATCAAATCTGGTGGACACTAATTTAGAGAAGGCTGTTTTAGAAGAACTGGAAGTTATTGCTTAGAGAATATATACATTACAAAGAACTGGATTCAGAAATAAAGAGAAGCCAGCTTGATCAAAGAATATCTGATCTTGTTAGGGGAGCTAATTATCTGGACTAATTCCTCCCTTAGATACTTCCTTCTTTATTCTTTTTCCTTTTGTCAGCTGACCTTGGAACTCCATGGTTTTGGTGCCACTCTGAAAGATTTAAGCAAAGAACAGGAAGTGCTCCAAACTCTGCTGTTTTGGGTTGCTGGAAGACCTGCAGTGCTGAGGGTTTTTGGCACTTCCGTCTGTAATTTGCTTCAATTATGTGGAATAGTTTGAGCTAGTATAGGAAGTCCTTCCTTTGTGTTCCATCGCTCCTGATTCCCACTCTGCTCCTTAAAAACTATATGGCCAGTGGAAGACAAGACTGTCCCCAGCGTTCTATACCAAAAAAATCCTGATCTTGCAAAAAGATTTTTTGTGGTCACTGGAGGAGCCAAATGCTCTCTGGAATCCATTGAGCTTTGGCAATGGGTTTATTAAATCTTTTATCGGTAGATCTGGTTCTCTTACGTCTTCTCCTTCTCCCTGACTATGGAGATTGGGACCACATCATGCTAATGAATTTGACCAATGGGACATGTTTTCTCTCTTCTCCCTCTGATCTTGTGCCCCTGTGGGGATGAGGCAGCCACACCTGTAATCCCCAGGCTGACATCTTCCCCTTCCTTTCTTCACCTTTATTCCTGTGAAGGAATGTGCAGTCCAGGTATCTATTTAGAGTTAGAAGGGGGGACTTCCTGCCATCTCCCATGATCTGTCTCTTGCTCTAATTTTATTTTGTTTTTCCTATTTACAACTTTTAGATAAAAAATAATAAAATTAAGAAAAAATGAGTTTCTTGTACATTGTGTAATTTGTACTGCCACATCATTTACAAAGGAGTGCTACAGAAATATCTGCAAATATGTCTTTTCTTATGATAGTTAATTTCCTAATTAATTTGGTAGTGGCTGAGAAAGGAGGATGACTTTAATACATTCACTGTAGTTGCAGAGGAAAAAAGAAGAGAATTTGCATCCTCTCATCAAGCCAAATGGGATCTGCCAGCTATGAAATTTTAACACCTGATATAAAGCAAGTTGCTATGGTGCTGCCCTACCACGTGTAACACTCCAATATCAGTGCTAAGATGACATGTTGTGCAGACATATGTAAGAATATGTACTTGTATGTAAGTCTTTCTAAGATGTTTTAAAAGGAATAGCTGAAGCATAGCCACCACTTAAGTCAGGAAACTGAAGATAATTTTTTTTACTTGGGAAGTAATTGAAAAAGGAAGTTTGAATGTGAGTGTCTCAACTTCAAAATGTACAGTCTGTTGCAGCCTTTGTGGGATTTAATTATAAACTATGCAGATATAAACAAGCTCTACTTCCTTAAATGGAAGAGGAAAACACCATGAAACTTTGCAAGCAGAAGCAAATAAAATGCAGGTATCCAGGTTGTGCAGGGGTTAGAGCATCGATGGCTGTGAGCCAGGATAGCCAGAGGGAGGTCCATAGACACGAGGTGGAGGCGGGTAGGGTGCAAAACTGAACTTGAAAGGAGAGAATGAGGAAGATTCTGGTGGTTCTGCACTTCCAAGGAAAGGAACCACATCCAGGCTGGCCCAGCTCGCTGGGAGCATTGGTCTGTAATCGGCTTGCTCGGGAGGAGACTTGGTAGGGGGAGAAGATGGAAGAACTGCTATTTCTTGGCTTGGGCTGCGGAAAAGCATAGCATAAGTCAGCACCTAAGAAGACTTGGAGGTCATTGGCTGAACCTGCCTAGCCTCCCATTTGGTGGGTCACACAATTGTGCTTTCCCTTATATAGCCCAGAGGATTTTCATTCTGAAGGTATTTCTAACCTTCCTTAGTCCTTTCTCATTCCTCTGAAAACATTCCCTTTTCTTCTTGCAATATCCTATTTGATGTAAATCGGGTGTCCAACCTTGGCAACTTTAAAATTTGTGGACTTCAGCTCCCAGAATTCCCCAGCCAGACTTCTGGGAGTTGAAGTCCACAAGTCTTAAAAGTTGCCAAGGTTGGACACTCCTGGTGTAAACCATGCATCGTGAATTTTGACTTTCTTATGGGATTGAGTTGAAAGGATAATTGCAAATCAGCCAAATATTACTTTTTTAAAATATTTTCGCATTGGCCTGAAAGCAAGGATGGAATGCAGGATGATATTAACCGATAGGTTATTGCCTCTAGCATCACAGCTGACATTAAAAGATAAGCTTGAGGAAAATCTTGTACATGATTGGAACAGCTGCTAATAAAGATGCTGGCTTGGCTCATTTTGATCATATGATCAGTGAAGCAAACTTAATCTACTGAAACATTTGTAGAAGGCCTCCAACTCTCTTGTCAAACCTAAAATACTGTTTTATGTATAAAACAAAGCCTTTGCCAGAAAAAGCCAAGAGCAATTTTCAGCGCAGGATTTAGACAATGATCACTCTTGCATAATAAAAATTAATGTAGCTATAAGTAACTCTATTATGTATAGCTGCGTCTGAAACATTTGATAGGCATCAGTTATATATCCTTTCTCGGGGATATATCACTAGACTCCTTTTAAGTCCTAAGTGCGACAAATATTGGAGCATGTGCACAAACAAAATGGTTTTGTACAGAATTCATTTGGAGGAGGAGGGGCTTTGTTATGGATAAATTTTCACACTCAATTAAAGTTTCCATGCTGGAGAACCATGCAGTCTTCACTTGGGGAAAAAAATAAATGCCTGGTTCTCAAATGTGGATACATGGAACAGTCTGGGTAAAAATCACTAAAACAATATATTTCTCTAACATTATAATGAGGATGTTTTTGGGATAGGATATTTTTAAGAGCCAGTTTGGTCTAGTCCAGGGGTAGGCAACCTTGGCTCTTTTATGACTCGTGGACTTCAACTCCCAGAATTCCTGAGCCAGCTATGCTGGCTCAGGAATTCTGGGAGTTGAAGTCCACGAGTCATAAAAGAGCCAAGGTTGCCTACCCCTGGTCTAGTCTCTAGTGATAAGGCACCAGGGCTAGTAACCAGGAAACTGTCAGTTATAATCCTACTTAGGCATGAAAGCCAGCTGGGTGACTGGATCAGTCACTCTCAGCCCACAATGTCATGGTTCAGGTGACCAGGTGGTTAGTCAATTCCTATTGGATCAATCCTTGGTTGATCTGAAAAAAAGCAGACTGTGTTTGCGGGGGGAAATGCTAGGAATAAAAAAAAAAAAAATTCCAGGTCAGTCCTGCCACCCTGGAGGAAAAGTAACATGGTCCTTTATTAGATAGCAACTAAAATAAACAATCCGAATATCTGAAGTTAGCTAAATGGTCCAGTGGTGAAGGCACCAGCCAAGGGTAGGCAACCTTGGCTCTTTTATGACTCGTGGACTTTGATATGAAACCACTGGGTGAGATCAATGATCAATTCAGAGTACAGGATCATCGATACCGATGATCTGTGCAACTCATTCCCAGGCTGCGCAAATGATGATTCAGGATCTGGAGGCTGTGCAGGGCTATATGGGTGAAGAGCAGATTTAGGCTCAATCCTGACAAGACTGAGTGGCAGTGGCCGTGGCTGTTTGGGGCCCTAAGTTTGGGATGTTTCCACTTCTGGTTCTGGATAATAATAATAATAATGATAAAGTTGGAAGGGACCAACTTTATCTAGTCCAACCCCCTGCTCAGGCAGGAAACCCTATACCATTTTGGACAAATGGCTGTCCAGTCTCTTCTTAAAAGCTTCCAGTGTTGGAGCATTCACCGCTTCTGGAGGCAGGTTGTTCCACTGGTTAATTGTTCTAACTGTCAGGAAATTTCTCCTTAGTTCTAGGTTGCTTTTCTCCTTGATTAGTTTCCACCCGTTGCTTCTTGTCCTGCCTTCAGGCACTTTGGAGCAGAGCTTGACCCCCTCTTCTTTGTGGCAGCCCCTGAGATATTGGAACACTGCTATCATGTCCCCCCTCGGGATGGGGTTGCACTTTCCTTTTTGGGATTAGTAAGCAACTTGGGGTTCCTCCTGGAATCACAACTGCTCAAGTGGCAGCTACAGAGCCCTTTTATGTGCACCAGCTATGCTCTTTCCTCAACTGCGAGGCCCTTTAAATCAGAGGTGTCCAATCTTGGCAACTTTCAGACCTGTGGACTTCAATCCCAGAATTCCCCTGCTAGCCATACTTCAATTATGTATTCTTTTAAATATTGCAAGACACCTGGCATTTTTCCAGAGTTGGGCAGCTTTAACACCAAATAATGAAATAAATAAATATTCTGTTACCTGCCATAAGGTGAGGATGGCCCCCTTAAACCATGAAAAGCAGCTGGATGTTGTACATAAGCCTCGGCCCCATTGAGATTAATTCCTGCAGGGGGGTAGAAGGAACAGGAAGGCTGTGGAAGTGCAGGGGGTGGCTGTTGTTCCAGAGGCCCCTCTTCGGTCAGGGTGGAGTCGCAAGGCCCCTTTTTGCTCTCTATGGGAAGGGATGTGCAGAGAAGACAGGAAGAGAAGACAAAGTTATAAGTAGGAATTAAACAACTACATGCTGGAAACCTATTTGGCAAAGATGGGGAACTCTTTATGAAAGAGGTGACACAAGGAGGTGAAATGACTGTACACTTAGTTAAGAAAAACAAAATCTAACAATTTGTCCAGCCTATTGGAAATCAAGTGAGGAGATTCTTTTAATTGATTCTTGGGAGTTGTTTTTGATTTGAGCTGGCTCTAAGCCCTGTAAACAAACAAACAAAGCTAGTCTGTATAAGTCAGGTTCTTCTGAGAAGCTTATTTCACTTCAAATTAATAAGACTACTTTCAAGGAAAAAGGAGGGGATAATTGCAGATGAAGGAGAAGAAAATGGAGAACGTGGCTTTGGGAAGAATTATGAGATTATGGAGGGGTAATTAGAAAAGCAAGGAAGAAGGGATTATGGAATGTCTGCCTAGGGCAGTGGTGGCGAACCTATGGCATGTATGCCAGAGGCGGCATTCGGGGCCCTCTCTGTGGGCACACATGCCGTTGCCCCAGACTCGACTCGCCCCATGACCCCCTTCTCACCAGCAGCACCCCTGGAGGAGAGTCGCCCCTGAGCGTGGCCCACACGGAGCAGGGCAGCCAAGGACAGGGCAGCCAGGCAGCATAGACAAGATTCTGCCCTCACACTCCATCCCGCACAGTTGATGCTGCGGGGCGCGGGCAGAGGGCGTGGCCGCCATGGCGCTGCTGGGCTGCCTGGGCGATCTGCGGTAGGCCCTGGAGGCGGTGAGTGGCCCTGTGGGCAGGCGGGGTGGGGGACGGGGTGGGGATGGGGCAAGGGGTAGAGCGGGGGTGGGGCCAGTTTTTGGGCACTCAGTCTCTAAAAGATTCGCCATCACTGGCCTAGGATGATGGATACCTAGGAAAGAGATGGAGATGTAGGCATTTGGTCAACTACTGTATCTAGAACAGGGATGGGGAACTATGGTCCTTTTATGACTTGTGGACTTCCAGAATTCCTGAGCCATGCTGGCACAGGAATTCTGGGAGTTGAAGTCCACATAGTTCCCCATCTCTGATCTAGAATCATAGTTATGCATGATCCAGGCGCATGCACAAGTAAAGGGGATCAGAGTGATGAAAACAACAGGCATCACAAAGCAAGCTCTACCCATTTTCTACATTGCATACATGCCCAAAGGGATAAAGCTTGTTATTTTGACATAGTGAGATCCTAAGAATGCCGTTAGGGTTATCTCATTTGTTGACTAATGTTGATGAATCACAGAATTTCAGCAGGCCAGCCTTAGCTAGTCCTGAATGAAGAATCACAGAAGAATTACATGTAATGCACCTAAAAACAGGTGGGGCTGTTATTGCATCACCGTAACTGCCGTTTTGACTTTTTGGGCCACAGTCTGCAAACATGCCTCCACGGAAGAGGAGAGGCTGAAGCTTAAAAGTAGCATTCAGGAAGTTAAGACAGAATAAGGTAGCTCTATTGTCCTCACCGCTTTCTCCCTGGTTTGCTTCGCATTCACTGATCTTCATCTTCCTTTTGATTCGGGCCTCACGCTCCCTGTATTTTTGTAATGGACCATAATGAGATCTGATAAAACAGCAGTCAGAGCTCAAACATCTTTCAGGATCATGCAACTGCAGATTGTTGGTCAAGCAGAGTCCACCCCATCTGCTTTCTAGAGTCTTAGCATTTTGTATGTTTGTTTGTTTTTTATGCTAATTTTTTAATTTACATTTTTTTATTCAAATACAAATAATACAAACATAATACATATAAGTCTAAATAAAAAACTATATATATATATATATATATACACACACACACACACACACACATATATATATATATATATATATATATATGTGTGTGTGTGTGTGTATATATATATATATATATGTGTGTGTGTGTGTATATATATATATATATATATATATATATATATATATATATGTATATATATATATATAATACAAATATTACGTCCTTATCCCCTCCAAAACAGCATATATTCCTGAATAGGTTTATTCCCTTTGCCTTCCACCAACACTGTTTTTATAAAATCCTCCCATATTTCATTATAATTATTTATTTTAATCATCCCTTTTTTAAATTTAATTTCTGTTGTTAATTTATCATTTATTGCCATATTCCATATTTCATTATACCACTCATTTTTTTGAATAACCCAATTCCGTATCCAATATTTAGCCATCACTAATCTAGCTGCCATTATCAAATTTACAATCAATTCCTTTTTTGCTTCATTTATATTTTGTTTTTCCACCAGTAACAGTAATGCAATCGTCGGTGACATATCTAAGTTTACATTCAAAAGTTCTCTAATTTCCCTAAACACCATGTCCCATATCTTTTATGCGCTATCACAATCCCATTTTGTTTGTGACCATTCGGCTTGTTGGAATGAAATCTCTGATGACAGATAATCTGGAGGCCACAACCTACGCAGCCATCCGTAGAGGGATTACAATGTCCTTCAGCCTCAGCCAATCTAGAAGGACATCTTTTGCAGTGGGAAACATCGGGAGACCCATATGGTGTTGTGGTTTTAATTACTTCCTGCTCACCTTTTGCTGTTCATGCCATTTTCTCGGAAGCCCTTTGCAAACGGGTTGCTTTCTATCTTCATCTGAGTGATCTGAACGGACGGCGAGGAGTAAAAGAAACAACAAATGTATACATTAGAATTAAAGGAATAGAAGTCATTATACATATTGATAGTAATAAATACATTCTGCCTTGGTGTGTTTTTTTCACCCAGTTTTGGGTTATTTCTGAAATAAGCGTAAACGTATATTAATGTTACTCTCAATCTGTTTGGGTGGTAGGATTTTAAGTTTTGTTTCTGTGTGCAAAATTCATATGTGTATGTGTTCCTGGAGGCCAGGAATAGCACAATGCAAGAGAAGATGGCAAAAATGTGATTTGGGAGATATCCTAGCTAAGCTGAAAATGAGAGGGACAAGAGAGAATAATGTATGTTTAAGAACAGCACCTGTACAAACTATAAAGTTGACAATGGGTTTTGCCCACAGTAGATTTAAGTACCAATTAGTGGTCTGGGGAAGATTTCTTAGAAAGAGATCTAGAGCCACTTTGATGTAGTGCTTAAGGAGCTGGCCTAGAAACCAGGAAACTGTGAGTTCTAGTCCAGCATTAGGCATGAAAGCTGGCTGGGTGACTTTGAGCCAATTACCAGGAAATACTGAGTTCTAGTCTTGCCTTAGGCATGAAAGCCAGCCTGGGGACTTTGGGCCAGTCCTCTCTCTCAGCCCAACCTACCTCAGGGGTTGCTGTTATGTGGAAAATAAGAGGAGGAAGGTGTGTTGGATAAGTTCGCCAGCTTAATAATAATGATGATAAAGTTGGAAGGGACCTTGGAGGTCGTCTAGTCCAACCCCTTGCTCAGGCAGGAAACCCTATACCATTTCGGACAAATGGCTGTCCAGTTTTTTCTTAAAAACTTCCAGTGTTGGCGCATTCACCGCTTCTGGAGGCAGATTGTTCCACTGGTTAATTGTTCTAACTGTCAGGAAGTTTCTCCTTAGTTCTAGGTTGCTTCTCTCTTTGGTTAGCTTCCACCCGAAACCATATAGGCAGGGTACAAATAAATAAGATAAAAGTCTAATTTTTATGACTCTGGATAGCTGCAGCCAACAAAGCAAATGAATTCTTCAGTTATGTATATTCAGTTATATTTCTGAAGTGGGTTTGCATATTAAGGGGAGATAATTACTTCTGCCCCTCCCAGCAACCAATTTTCAGCAACTCTTGCAGATTTATTTTTCTATTAAAACCTTTCTACAATGGATTACAGTACCCATGATCCCAAGCCATAATGGGCATTGGCTGAGAATTGCTGGAATTATAGTTCAACACACGGTTTCCCAATTGGCAACCTTAAGATATGTGGACATCAACTCCCAGAATTCCTCAGCCAGCCTGGGAAACACTGGCTCAATATCTGTGGGTGACACCAGTGGAGAAATTTCTATTAGATTCCATTAGAAGTATTATTAAGACTATGTTCCCAGTTCAGTTAGTCCCCCTAGACCAGCTAAAATGAACAAAATAAGACTTATAAAGTCTTCATAACATGAAAAACTATGATGGTGTAATGCAGTGTTTCTTAACTCAGCAACTTGAAAATGGACTTCAACTCCCAGAATTCCCTATCCAACCATGCTAGGGAAGTTGAAGTCCATACATCTTAAAGTTGGTGACAGTGAGAAACACTGGTGAAAAGTATTGAAATGACAGGCTGTTAAAAGCTATGGGGGAGGAGATTAAACTTTGCTGGAGACATGTTTATGCTGAAAAATACATTCTTATGAATAATAGAAGGAGTCAAAGTGTTGTGAACTGAAATGGTTAGATAGAAAAACAAATTTTGAGGGCAAGAAAAGGGCACATTTAAGACTATAAGACTGTCAGATAAGGGTTAGTTCTGAAAAGATTTGGATGAGGGTGTCAAAGAATAAAAGAATAGGAAAATATGCAGAAAGAGAGTATCAAGGAATCCTAGAAAGTCAATATATAGGAAATATAAATAACAAAGGCTACAGGACTGTGAGGATGAGGGGTGGAGGGACATCTCTAAACATGAGGAAACAGGTGAAGTTAAATGAAGAACGGGCAATAGTGGGATAAGGGGGGAAAAACATACAGAGGGGCAAAATGGATTTTTGAAAAGAAACAGATTTCTCCCAATTACTATATCTTCTGAAAGTCCATTGGTATATTTGCCTAGGCATTTTTCTGGCTGAAAACATTCCTAGAGATTCTAGACAGCTAACTCTAAAACATAGAATAATAGGGTTGGAAGGTACTTTGGAGGTCTTCTAGTCCACCCCCTGTGTGATATTAATACATTTTATTAAGGAGGGTAAGGTTTTTTTTAGCTACCATAGAGTAACAAGTTGCTCTCTCTCTCTCTCTCTCTCTCTCTCTCTGTCTATCTACCTATCTACCTACCTACCTATCTACCTACCTACCTATCTGTCTGTCTGTCTGTCTGCCTGTCTGTCTATCTGTCTATCTATCTAAAGAAGGAGACAATGAGGGACAAGCAGTTTGGGGATATTATGGGCTCTACAAATGAGAATGAGTCTACAGCAGGGGTCTTCAAACATGGCCCTTTTATGACTTGTGGACTTCAACTCCCAGAATTCCTCAGCCTGGCACCCTGGCTGAGGAATTCTGGGAGTTGAAGTCCACAAGTCATAACAGGGCCAAGTTTGAAGGCCCCTGGTCTACAGTATATAAAAAAACACTTTTTAAAAACCCTGCTCTTGCTCTCTCACCTGTGGGTTCTGGTAAGCTGTGACAGTCAGAAACTGCGTCTCAGGAAAGGTGAAGGAAGCACAGCCACCCCCTGCTCCGCGGCGCCCTCCAGCTCCCACCACATGTACTCGGGGCTGGTAACGATGCATGGAATGAACGATCAACTAAGAAGAGAAGAATCAACAATGAGCTTTATTTTACCTGACCATCTTATGTTCTTCCATTTTCCAACTCCATTTTACTTCTCTGCAAAACTGAACTGTCTATGCCTATTGTCATTCTGGGCAAAGCACAAAATGTGATTCTAATTGCATGATTCATTAACCTTAAATATGACTTCATTTTGTAATTAAAAGGAAGAATAAGAATCTAGGTTTGACAACCTGCCAAAAAGAAAGAAAAAAAAAGCCCAAGTCATTTTTGTAGAGGGATCTCAGTGAGCTAAGTTGTTTCATGCCTTACATCCATGAACATTTTTTTTATAATAATTCAACACATACCAACAAAACCAAAGTTTAAATACTGCATGGTTGCTATAGAATTTATTTACTTTGAATTTCAAAATGTAGTGCTCCTTTGGGAAAGGTTTTGCTTCGTTTTTGTCATTGGATTCACAAAATCCTGGAGCTTAACTATAACCCCTCATAGTTAGTAGTCTAAAAGTCCCTCCCACATGTGTCCCCTCTTCTAAATCATTTTATTTGGGCTATAAGTGTACTCTATCAATTATCGTCTCCTGGATGTATATCCCCTCTTCCCCATTTGTCTTTCCTCCAATCTCAGGCCCCAGTCATACATGTCCATGAGGATCCAGGGTATTATTGGTGAGCTTGAGCCGATGGAAGGATACAGGTTGGCGCATCCAGTGGGCACCTGATGCAGGTGAGTCAGGATGGATGTAAACCCGGTCTGGAGGTGGTAATTCTGCCTTGCCACTGGCTTCCCACTTTTTGCCATGCCATTTGTAGCGGGAGCCTCCTACAGGGACGACATCCACCAGCAGTAGGTATTTAGCTTCAGAATCCAAGCCAGTGACTGCAACTTTTAGCTGTGGAAACATCCGCCTGAAAAGTGATTAAAACATGGATTAGAAAAATTCAAATTGTGGAGGAATGGGGCTGTGACACAGAAGAGGAAAATAGGATTCATCTCAAAGTTGGTGGTAGCCAATTCTAATCACACCGCCCCCCCCCCCCGCTATAGCTGAGTTCTAGAAAGCTAATAGCCCAGGACAAGCGAACAGGGTCCAAATCATATTATTTGGCTCCATTTATTAAGACAGACAGACAGCCCTTGAAAGGTCAATTCTGCCTTGCTTGAAGTACAAGCAAGGAGTCCTTGATTTACAAACAAACTGGTATCATAAATTTGGTTGCTAAGCAAAGCAGTTGTTAAGTGAGGTGCAGCCAATTTTATGACCTTTTTTGCCAAGTTGTTAAGCAGTTGTTAAGTGAATCACACTGTCATTAAGCAAATCCAGTTTCCCCCACTGATGTTGTTTATGGGAAGCCAGCTGAGAAGGCTGCAAATGGCATTGACACTGGGATGCTGCAAGGATTGGAAATATACGATGGTTGCCAAGTGCCTGGATTTTGATCTTGTGACCATGGGGATGCTGTGAAAGGAAGTGCGAGGACCGGTTGAAATAAACATTTTTCAGTGCAATTATAACTTTGAAGAATTGCTAAATGAATGGTTTAAGCTGGGGACTAACTGTAGTGGAAGAATGTTAGGATCTTGTGCATGACAAATGGCTTTTGATTATTCCTTTGAAAGCTGGAAACATAGAAAACACTCTCACTTAATTCCTAGAGCAGTAACTATTCTTTCCCAGTTTTCTGAGATGCAGTCTTTCTAGTTCTTTTCTCCCTTCACCCATCTATATAGGTTTCATACAATTACTATAAATTCCCAACGTTGTTTGTCACCAGATCAGCTCATCTTTGATCTGCAGTGACTTAAAATGGTCCAACAGCTGGAGACCCAATGTTAGGAAACATTTTTTACACTAGGAATTAAAGACAAAAGGGGATTTTCATGGTATTCATTTCAGTTAACCCTTTATTCTCTGGTACCCAGAAGGTACACCTATTTCTCAAAATATTGCTTTTATTATAATAACCCAGCAAAAATTAGAATAGAATAGAATAGAATAGAATAGAATAGAGCTGGAAGGGATCTTGGAGGTCTTCTAGTCCTGCCCCCTGCTTGAGCAGGAGAACCTATACCAGTAGTGGCGAACCTATGGCAGGGGTGCCAGAGGCAGCACTCAGAGCCCTCTCTGTGGGCACGCGTGCCGTCGCCTCAGTCCTAGGCCTTCAGCTGGGTTTTATAAAACGTTTTCGCTTTAGGCCTCCGCTGCCGTGTGCAAAAAAAAAAAAAGGTTCTATCAGTCAATTTCAACTTCTCATGGGAAAAAAAAGATCTTGCAAAGTTGGAATTGATTAATTGAACTTTTTAGTCCCACCCAGTCTGCCTTTACCACCGCAGCCATGCCCACTCAATTGGTCCCACCCACCCAATGGGCCACACCCACCCAATGGGCCGCACCCACCCGGCACTTGACGATACATAACTGGGTTTTGGGTTGCAGTTTGGACACTCAGTCTCTAAAAGGTTCGCCATCACTGACCTATACCATTTCAGACAAGTGACTGTCTAGTCCAGTGGTGGCGAACCTATGGCATGTGTGCCAGAGGCGGCACTCGGAGCCCTCTCTGTGGGCACACATGCTGTTGCCCCAGCCTCGCCTCCCCCATGACCCCCTCCTCACTAGCAGCCCCCTGGAGGAGAGTCGCCCCCGAGCATGGCCCACACGGAGCAGTGCAGCCAAGGACATGGCAGCCAGGCAGCATAGACAAGACTCGCGCCCCATCCCGCACAGTTGATACTGTGGGTCGCGGGCAGAGGGCGTGGCCGCCATGGTGCTGCTGGGCAATCTGCGGCGGGTCCTGGAGGCGGTGAGTGGCCCTGCAGGCAGGCAGGGTGGGGGGTGGGGTAGGGGTGGAGCAGGGGTAGGGGTGGAGCAGGGGCGAGGCCAGTTTTTGGGCACTCGGTCTCTGAAAGGTTCGCCATCACTGGTCTAGTCTCTTCTTAAAAATCTCCAGTGATGGAGTACCCACAATTTCTGGAACCAAACTATTCCACTGGTTAATTGTTAGGACGTTTCTCCTAAATTCCAGCTTGCTTCTCTCTTTGGTCAGTTAATTAATTAGGAACAGAGAAAAGATTTGTTTCTCTTAATGTCTTGAGAGCCTTCCTAAATCAAATTAGCAGTCTAATCAAGTAAATTATTTTCCATCAGCATCCTAAACTGAACTTACAAAAGGTATACTGCCTTTGAACATGAGGCTTCATTTAAAATATTAGAAGTGGAGAAAAAGTTGAAAGGATCACACACCTCGGTTCCAATTTACATGAAAGCTGGGACATGACCGTTGAAGTAAAGACAAGGATAGAAAAAACTCGAACAGCATTCTTCAAAATGAAAAAGGTCTTCTGCAGTCACGACATAAGCCTAAGACTGAAAATCAGGCTTGTCAGATGCTATATTTTTTCTATCCTGCTCTATGGAGTAGAGAGTTGGTCTCTGACAGAAGGCCACCTGAAGAGATTAGAAGCATTTGAAATGTGGATTTATAGGCAGCTGTTACGTATAAGCTGGGTTGACAAGATCAGAAATGAGGAGGTAATAAGCCACCTGGGAAAGCCAAGGGAAATCATCAAAACAATTAAAAAACGAAAATTAGAATATTTCGGACATGTAATGCGACACCAAGAAAAATACAGCATATTCCATTTAATCCTCCAGGGAAAGATTGAAGGCAAACGAGGTCCAGGCAGAAGAAGAACATTGTGGCTTCAAAATCTAAGGGACTGGTTTGGACAAAACTCAGCAGCACTTTTTCGTGCGGCTGCTGATAAAAACAGGATCGCCAACATAATCGCCAATGTCCGATAACGGATATGGCACAAGAAGAAGAAGAAGAATTCAGGCATCTAAGTCTAGCTCTCTGTTCAGTAACAGAGAGGGCAGCTTTAGATTGCTTATCCTTAGTGAACTTGTCAAATCCCATTTGCAAGCTATTTAAACTATAATTCATCAGTATGTGTCATGGCCATAAATCCCTAAACTAGTAAATTCTATAAACAATTTTCCTACTCTTTTTGCATTATGGTCTTCCTCCCTGCCAGCTCCAGTGAGACAGAAAAAAAAATGCCCATTGAACATATGCAAAGCTAGTATGTTAAAAATAATTTTGGTTGCAATCATAACCCTCTGTACATTTATATACAAACAAGAATCACTGGACTTCATAGGGCTTACTTCAGAGTAGGGAAGGATGAGATTATGGGGTCAGTCTATTGGGGAGATGTTTTAATTTTAGGACAGAAGAAAAGTCATCTGAATCTCTGATTTACATGATCCAAGATTGATCCCTGCCTCTGCAAGGAGAGAGAGAGATGATGGACCAGCAGCTCACCTGCCTGCTTTGGTGATGATCATCTCGGTGCCAATGCCGCTGAACCGCTTCCAGAGCTCGCTGTTCTCCAGGCTCATCCGTACTCCAGGGGGTAGCTGTGAAGTTGTTGGGGGGGCTGATGGGAGTGCCTGAGATGATCCATAAGGGAGGCCAGGGGTTGGGGGCAGGAGGCACCCAGGAGGGTCCAAACCTGGGAAGAAGCCTTCCAATTTGGGAGCAGCTTCCAGCTCTGGTGACAAAAAAGAGGAGAAAAGAAAGCTGAGAGGAGGGTTAAGAGGGCATTGGCTGCTGAGCCATGTGGAGTTAATGGGAAGGAGGGGGCTGCAGTCATTACTGAGGGGCATCATCAAGGAATTTGTCACTCTCCTGCTGGTTTCCGCCTGTTTTCTTCTCTCTCCCCCCCTCCACCTCTTCCCTGACCAGTTGGTCTTGGGTGCTAAATATCCAGCTGATGGGGGGGGTGGGCAAGAGCCAACAATTTATGGGAATTCTCCATCTCTCAGCTCCCTTTCTGCTCTCCCCAGCCCTGACCCCCCACTGGCCTGTCTAAATCAGAAGCTGCTTCCCCTTCATCTGAGGACCATTTTCATCCTCGGGGTGCCTAGTGGACTTCCCTTCCTTTTTTTTTTTTTAATAATGTAGGTCCCACTTTTCCCACAGATATAATAGCCTCACCTTCTAATCCTCATTGTCTGATTCCAGCTCACACATTCTGGATTCATTTTATTTATTCATGAAATTTATTAGCCACCCATTTCATACCCAACGACTCTGGGCAAGCTTTACAACATAAACATTTTTGGTCCACTATTCCACTCTAATATAGTTACATCCTGGAATCAGCTTGCCTAACCCTCTTATCTTAAACATCCTGGCTACAACCTTCTCTTCCCCAAAACATTGCTGGTTTTATTTTAGTTTCTTATACAAGAAGAAAGTTTCTCCGTGCCAGATTTTTATTTCTTTAACCTCCTCTGAGTCCTCAGAGATGCTTAATTGCCATCTTCTTCCTTAAATGTCTGTCACGGTCCAACCATATCCATCTCAAGAGCCACTCCCAGGAAGGCACAGATGCTTTTTTCTTCTACCCCGCTCCCTTTCACACAACAACCCTGTGAGGTAAATAGACTGAATAATGGTGCCTGGCTCTGGATCAGGCCACCATGGAGCGTAATGGCTAAATGAAGATGTTCTTGAGCCCACAATCCTCATCAGCATTTTTGACTCCCTTCCATTCACGGCTTTACCATGACCCAGTTTTTCCTTCCCCCACCACTTTGCCACATCATCTCCCAATTTCTCACCTGAGTATCTGAAGGCTTCATATTGGGGTGCCTGACTCTGGGGATAGGCAGCTCCAGGAGGGGGTGGTGGTCGCAGAGCATAGGAGCTCCCATATTGGGGAAACATCTCTGATGGGTGATACATGAGGGATGGGCAGAAGCCTGGAGGGCAGGACTGGCTTTGCTGGGAAGGGAGTGGGGGTCCTGTGGATGGGAACAGGTGAGGCTGGAAGCCAGAGCTCCTGCCTTGAGGGTGGGGGTAGAGGAGAAGGCCTAGAGGCTGGAAAGTTGGTTTGGGGAGCAAAATTGGATGTGATTTGGGGAGAGAAGGAAGGGAGGGCTCAGAGGCAGAAAGGAAGGAGCTGGGAGCCAGATCTCCTTGGCTTGGTTTCCTGAAGCAAGTCTGGGATGTGTCCCCCTCCAAATCCTCTCTTTCCCTGAAGCGCCCCTGGTTGGGGGCTTGTATTTATGATTCCGCCAAGGCTCTTTGAAGTGAGACCCCAAATGGCACATTCACACCTCAGGAGGGGAGGGGTTTGGGGCTGGTAGCAGGGGAGCTGCAGGAAAGAAGTAGCAGACGTAGGCTCAGCCTTGGGATGTCCCATCTTTACACACCATCCAGCTATTTCTGTCAGGATCCCTCTACTTCCCAAGGTCTGTTTTCTCCTTCTGCCTCCCCTGTCATGTCAGCCCTCTGCCCTCTTTTGGGAAGTTGTTTCTAGGCTCAGCTGCCCTCCCCAGTCTCTGCCTGCTCCTCCTTCAGAACCACAGCTGCCCAGCCAGATCTTCTCCCACTTAAGTCCAGCTTCCCAACTCCATCTCAGACTTCATTAAGAGTGGTAACTGAATCTCTTTCTGCGCCCACCCCTTGAATCCTCCTAATTGCCTAATTAACACCCTGACTCCAAAGTTTCCTGATTGATCCTGACCTATGGGATCCTTGGTTTACAAGTGAGTGAAGGGAGGGGGACTTGCCAGAGTCATTTATCATCCAGATGTTTTCACAGCTGGGCAGGACAGCTGCAAAAGACTGCCAGATCCTGGGAGAGGCAAGTGAGATCTTCTCAGCTATGGGTACGGTGACAGGACCGTACTTCAGATTTTTGAATGGTCATTTGATGACAGTTTTTTGAAATGTAGTTCTAATGGGTCACGAGAATTGCTGCCGAGGGAGTTATGTTAGAGGGAACTACAAAATGTTATTTTCTGCCAAAGATCTCCTGTTGAGAATAAACCTCCAGAATCCACACCCAGATTAAAATAGGCTGGCTTAAATTTCTATGTTGCAGGAAAACAACAGAAGCTTCTGGTATCTTAAGACTAAGATGCTTATTACAATATGTGTGTGCTTTTCCTGGTACATATAAAGAAGGAAGGGAGATAATTAAAGTGGAGATCAGAGACATATGAAATATAAGAGGTGAAGGCAGTAATAATAAGCTGAAAGTTATGGCATGACCCAGGTGGCATTGACTGATCTCAAAAATGAAGCAGGACTGAAGCTGGTTAGAGTAGGATGGATTGTGAAGTTGAAAAAAAATAGAGGCCGTGGCAAATCACTTATCATTGCCACAAAAATTCAATGATATTTATTTATTATTTTATTTTTATTTTATTTTATTTTATTATTTTATTTTTATTATTTTATTTTATTTTATTTTATTATTTTATTTTATTTTATTTTATTATTTTATTATATTATATTATTTTATTTTATTTATTGGCTGCCCATCTCGTTTACAGAGACTTTGGGCAGCTGTGTTTCCAGAAGTTTGACTGAAAAGACACATTACCTTTAATAGTTGTGCACAAAAATGGGGTTTAGGTGTGAGACAGAAAGTTTTGCATTGGTGACATGATCAACACACATCATCTGATCAAAACCTTAGTTCGTTGGAACCACAAAAATGTTGCCAGGTCCTCCTGTTTTAAAAAATGGTGGCTGAACACTGCAGAGTCAGTGAGCATAGTAGATGGTTGCCATGAGATCAGAGACAGAACAAACTGGGGAAGGAGCGGGGGAGGGGGGCTCCACTGGTTTGTTTGTTTTTTTTGTGAGGGAAACATACTTAATTCTCATATTAGATCTGTGCCCATTTATTATTGCATTGTCACTATTATGCATTGACTTGTCACCCAATGTTTCTGGAAGGCAGTGGGGCATTTCTGATGGAAGATTGTTTTGGAAAAGGGGCTAGTAAGCCCTTAGGTAAACCTAGGCCAAGGGTAGGCAACCTTGGCTCTTATATGACTCATGGACTTCAACTCCCAGAATTCCTGAGCCAGCATGGCTCAGCTTGGAAACATCTCCCTTTCCCCTCAGCATGACTGGCTCAGGAATTCTGGGAGTTGAAGTCCACGAGTCATAAAAGAGCCAATGTTGCCTACCCCTGACCTAGACAGCATATTAAAAAGCAGAGACATCATCTTGCTGACAAAAGTCCGTATGTTCAAAGCTATGGTTTTCCCAGTAGTAATGTATGACTGTGAGAACTGGACCATAAGGAAGGCTGAGCACCCAAGAATTGATGCTTTTGAATTGTGGTCCTGAAGAAGATTCTTGAGAGTCCCTTGGACTACAAGGAGATCAAATCAGTCAATCCTAAGGAAATTCCCCCCTGACTGTTCTTTGGAAGGACAGATACTGGAGCTGAAGGTTTCTGCCACCTAATGAGAAAGGAGATGACTATTGGAAGAGACCATGATGTTGGAAAGGATTGAAGGCAAAAGGAGAAAGGGATGGAGGAGGATGAGATGGTTGGATAGTGTCATTGATGCAATTAAAGTAAAATTGGGCAAACTCCTGAAGACAGTGGAGGACAGGTGGGCCTGGTGTTTTGTGGTCCGTAGGATCATGAAGAGTCAGACATGACTTAGTGAATTAGCAACAACAAAGCCCTTAGGTGACATTATTAGGACTTGCAAGACAGTAGTGTTGTCAAAACAAATATAGGGGCACATATGGGTCTGCTGTTGAGTTGGCTCCTGTGTCGGCCCCGTTAAAACACTTTGATTAACCTTTTAATCTGATTGGCTCTTTGTAATATCATTAAGGGAGCCAGTTTCGTGTAATGGTTAAGGTTCCATCTTAGAAACCAGGAGGCTGTGAGTACTAATTCCACTTTAGGCCTAAAAGCCAATTAAATGACATTGGGCCAATCACCAGAACTGTGAGTTCTAATCCTGTTTTAGGCACGAAAACTGGCTGGTTGACTCTCTCTCAGCCCAACCCAATTTACAAGGTTGTTGTTGTGGGGAAAAATAGGAGGAAGAAGAATTAGGTATGTTCACCTCCTTTTTTTTTTACTTATAATTACTTATAAAGTGATAAAGGTGCAATTAAAAAAAATCTAATAAATAAATCAAGACTTGTGAAAATGAACTGTTACTTTACAGAATGAGCTATAAAACATTGTTTCCTTAGAGCAGGGGTGTCAAACTTGTCACATCATGTGACGTGTCCGGACATATCATGACTTTTTTAGCATTGCCAGAGCTGGGGTGAGTGCCACCTCCGTATGATGCAACTGGCCTGCAGGCTGGCAGTTTGATACCCTGCCTTAGAGGAACTGTAGCTAACAATAAACAATGCAGCAATGTTCTTCTAGTCCTCTCCAAAAGTGAACTATTCTTAGGTATCAATCTGTTCTTCTTTATCTGGTGTTTTTCCTCCCACAGTATTGTAGTTTGAGAAAGTTCTGACTTAGATCCCTTCATCTGAGTGGTTATGATTAAGGGCCTTGCAGTAAACAATGGATTTTGCCACGTGTTCTGGCTGAAAGCATGCAAGAAGCATACAAATGTCCTCTGTAATGTCCAGGAAGTGAATTTGCATGACAAGTTGGAAATAATAATAATAATAATAATAATAATAATAATAATAATAATAAAGTTGGAAGAGACCTTGGAGGACATCTAGTCCAACCCCCTGCTAAGGCAGGAACCCTACACCATTTCAGACAAATGGCTGTCCAGCCTCTTCTTAAAAACTTCCAGTGTTGGAGCATTCACCGCTTCTGGAGGCAGGTTGTTCCATTGGTTAATTGTTCTAACTGTCAGGAAGTTTCTCCTTAGTTCTAAGTTGCTTCTCTCCTTGATCAGTTTCCATCCGTTGCTTCTCGTCCTGCCTTCAGGCGCCTTAGAGAATAGCTTGACTCCCTCTTCTTTGTGGCAGCCCCTGAGATACTGGAACACTGCTATCATGTCACCCCTCGTCCTTCTCTTCGTTAAACTAGACATACCCAATTCCAGCAACCGTTCTAAAGTGGAAGTTACTGAAACCAAAATCACTTGCCAGGACATTCTTCCACTAAACCAGGTAATAAAATAAGTGGTAAAGAAAGTTTGGAGAATGAAGATGATGTTTTAAATCATTCCTGAAGATGTTATTGTGCTGTACAGAACAATCACCAGGAGTTAAGCTCCCTTGAAGGAGGGTTTATAGCCATTTGTTAGTCTTTAAAGTGCCACAAAACTCTCCATTTCTCAATCAAGAGGACCATGATGCTTAAAATTTCAAACTGGTATCTAGAGGAAGTACTTATTTATTTCTCTGTATTTTTCTCCAGCCATTTCTTCAAATATCTTAGGGCAGGGATAGGCAACCTTGGCTCTTTTATGACTCGTGGACTTAAACTCCCAGAATTCCTGAGCCAGCCATGCTGAGAGGAAAGGGAGAGGTTTCCAAGCTGAGCCATGCTGGCTCAGGAATTCTGGGAGTTGAAGTCCACGAGTCATAAAAGAGCCAAGGTTGCCCATCCTTGTCTTAGGGCAACTGGTATGATATGAAAAATTTTCTCTATGTAATCCTCCTCACAATAACCTGAGGTGTAATAACTGGTCAAGGGGTTCCAGATCCCTATGCGCTTTGTTTGCAGCTTATTGGTGCTTGATCCCATTCCTGATTTCTGGCAGAAGAATGAAAATTTGTTGCATTGGCTATGATTTCTAAATTTTTGAGGGGGGAGGAAAGATATAAAATAATATTCATAAATACTACTGAAATATTTCCATTAATTGACCGTTTCTAAATATCGACTCTAGCTGAATTTCTACTGTTTACAGTAGTGGCCAAGATTGTGGAAACCTTTTGGAAAAAGTGTATTTTTGAGGTTTGCTAGCTAATAATACGACTTTTTTTTGGGA